CAAACCAAACTTTTGTATCTCTAAAACATGTTTACCTCCTTACTACTCCTCTCAGTTCATGTCCTACCATCCATTTAACACAAGGTGATACTATTTGCCATTATGAGAAAAGATTGATTGATTTATTTGTTTTTATGGCTTACCAACCCTTTGTGGGTTATTTAAAGCCAAAATGGATTTTGGATTGTAAGAATAAATTCTTTACATTAGCATTTTTTTTTTTTTTTTTTTTTTAAGAATAACAATGATTTGTTTAACCCATAGCTGTAGGGAGTAAATGTATTCATATATTTCCCAAGAGTATTTGCATGTAAGGAAATTTTATGAACCTGACTGATATTTGAACTTGCCTTTCCAATTTTTCATTCCAAATTGCTATCCATCACACCACTTGCACATCCATATGAAGAAAGGTTTGGAGAATTTGATACTCACAAGGCATATCAAAGGCAGAAGGAGCAACTCAGAAACAATATTTTATTAGAGTATATTTTGGAAACCATATTGATAATCTGAGAGAGAGTTTTAAAGGAAATAGTATTAAATCCAAGGCACCAGTGACTATCAAGAAAGAATTTAACTTCCAAAAACATACTTGTCAATAACAAGTGCAGTTGAGTTTGCCACTGTTTTTTATTCACATTCTACTCAAAATATCATAATTTGGATATTTTTTCTATCATTTAATGCAAAGAAATATGTCAAACTAAGAAATAAATTTTGTCACAGAGTAAAACATGTCCAATAATGTTCAAAGCTTCTATAACACAGCATCTAGAAAAGATTAGAATTAAAAGCAGAAAGAAACATCTGAGCAGATAACAAATGCTGAAAATTTAGAATTTGGAAGTTTAGAAATTTTTTTGATGACTGGCATGAAACTTTGTTTAACTGTAGATAACTATCAGAATTAAATATATTTTAAATTTTAATTTAATTTCAAGGTCAGATGAAACAGCCACTAAATGAAAAAAAAACATTTTTTTTTTTTAATGTTCCACAAAACTACTTCATTTCCTGAGAGGTTGGATAATAAAGAGTAAGATATGAGATTTTATCTTACAGTACAAATATGTATACATACATATACAGTCTGAAAATTACTTGTAAAGTGAAACTGACAGTCACTATGCAGTGTTCATTTCTATATTCATACTGTCTATTTCTATAAATGTTTTGTCTCTGATAGCACTTTTTACCTATAAATATAACAAAATTTAAACAATATGTTTCAAATATGTTTTTGAAATGCTTGTAATAATTTTGTATTGAAATTAGCAGCATTTCTTTCAAGTTCGTTATTTTTGGGGGTTGTAGGTAATATAATGTGTCTGTTTTTTATGTTATCATTTGTACTTTTTTTTTTTTTAATCGAGTTACCCCAAGCAAGGCAGTAAAGCCACAGAGATGCAAGAGCTTACTGGGTGTGGAAGAGTTAGAAACAGGAACATTGCTGAGGAGCAAGAACAGAGGAAGAGTAATCAGGAAGACAGCAGATAGCAATTGACATTGCACTTAAATTTTTGCAGATTAAAGTTGGCTGGAAAGTATGGAGCTGGAACAGAGTTCCACAAGCAAGAAGTGTGAGAAAATAAGCTGTTAGCCTACTATTTACGGTTACATCTTTGCCAGCTCAACTGTAAATTGGTGAGGCCTCAATGTCACTCCAGTCTAGTGCTTAACTTAACTTTGAAGAGTCTCGGTATCATAGCAAAGAGCTTGTAGTGAACAAAAACAAAATCTAGATTTAAAATTCAAATGCTAAGCACTGACTCATTGATTTTGTTAAAAATTAAAAAGACTTGAATTTACAAACTTTGCAAAAGTGAATCCAAAACAAAACTCGTGAAATTTCACACCTTGATGTGAAATGTTTTTCGGCCAATAGAAAACTAGGAAACATTTAAAAACAAAATTCAAATAATCTTCAATTCTCAGAAACAAATTCTTTTATGGACCTTTTTGCGAGTTGACATGAAATTTGTTCATCTTCCAATGGAAAGGCCCGAATCATATCCAGGAGTAAATTCCCAAATGACTTTTTCAAGCCCCAAAAACAAAATAAAAGACGGGCAAGTTTGCTTGTCACCAAAGAAGAGGAGACAAGCGTATTAACACGTCCTATGACAAACATCAAGTGACCGTTATTATTATCTCTACCTTTCTCCCTCACTTCTTTTATACTTGATAAACGAACAAAACATTTAAGACTGAGTGCTTACTTCAAAGACATTCCTACCCTATGATTATGCTCATACATACATCCACACATACATTCATGCCTACATACACATAAACTCATTCTTGCAAGAACTACTACAAACATTTTGATGACATTAATTTTATTTGTAAAGACCCAAATTGATTTATATGTATATAAATTTGTGGTTTCACTTTACAATTTGATTTTCTTGTTTTATACCCCTCTTATGGTGGGCTATCTAACTAACAAGGCCAAATCAAACGAATCCGTTTCAACACTCATACATTTCATTATAACTGATAACCAACTATAAGCTCATCCAAACAATTACCATGAAAGTATTTAGAGAAAAGGCAAAGAGAAGCAACCTTATGGCAGTAGGAAAGTGACTGGAGCCAATGTTATAATAAACATTTGGTTGTGAAAGGAATAACAAGGATTACGTTTTTGAACAATGTGTATTTTTTAATATGTAGGGTGTCTTACAGAATTGTCAGAAAATTGGTGAAAGGTCAGTTTCTGTTGCCAGTTGTCAGGATGACTATCAGGTGTAAGGGTATCGCTGGGAGTTAGCATTTTTCTTATGTTGGTTTGACTGAGGTCACAGAATATGGTTGTTCGAGGTGATGGTGGTGTGTTGACTTATTGGTTGTCAAGGTAACTTTGGATTGGCATAACTGGTAGGCCTGTTCTATGAAACTGGTCTGTGGTGACGACTGCAAAGGGAATGCCTGTAGCAAGGTATAACAAGATGATGTCAGTGAGTTGCCAAGGTGACAAGGTTGGTATAGCTAGTTGGCCAGTGTTCTATGAAATGGTGGTAGCTGAGTGGGTTACATGCTGTCGGAGTTGCTTGTGAAGTCGGAATTGCTTGTTTGAGGAGTTGGATTTTCTGAGGTGATGGTGTTAGCAACAAGGAAGGCTTGTGGCTGGCTGGTGTTGACATCTAGTTGTTATCAGTTGCAACGGTTGTTGTCTTGGGCCTGGTGGTGTCAAGGCTGGATAGTCGGTGGCTATAGTGAGTCATGTTTGCCAGGATGATAGCATTGGCAATGTGGAAGGCTTGTAACTGGGTAGTCTCAATGAGATTTGCCAAAAGTAACAGTGTCAGTGACAATGAAGACTTGTAGCTGGGTGGTGACGACCTTGAGATGATATTCTGGATTCTGTGTGTGGAGAGTCGGGTGATTTGTCAAGCCCAGGAGTGGTAACAGTCGTTGAGATAAGCAGTCATGTTGGTGACAACACCCTGTGTGTCAGCAGCTGGCCTGCCAACCTGCAACTGCTTGTGGTCCCTATGGGTGTCCTGATTTTAATCAGATCTAGCAGTCCCCAGGGGCATCTACTTTTCCAGCAGGAATGTTCACGATTGTCCAATGTTGCTTTTATTGCGGTGATTTGCAGAAAACGACTTTTTTTTAAAAATTTTGTTCTCTGACTTATGGTGTTTACATTCGGTTTTAGCATGCAGAATGAATCAGAAAGATATCTAATTGCAATGGAGTATAACATCGAGATGCCAGATTGGTACCAATAATATTGCTAATTCTTCTTAGGACTTTATCAAGGAGCTCAAGATAGATAGCAGGAGTGGCAGTAGTATTCTATGTATGGATGAATTGTAGATTTATAGATATGTAAGACTCTGGAGAGAAATACTATCTAGCTCAACACAGGGAACCAGCCTTCCTCACAGCTGACCTAGCAATGTATTCAGTATAGTCTTTCCACTTTTTTTAGTTTTGTGGATTTTGTATGCTTTTCTTTTGCCATTGTATATGAAATAACTAGAATAATGGAGGATTTTAACAAATATTTTCAATGTATTTTTTTTCTTCATCTAGATATTCGGTGCTGCTAATTCTAAGAGTTATCAAATAAAATCTTATATTTACAGTGCTGTGCAAAATAAGTGAACCCTTGAGATAATATTAAAAAAAAAATTGACATTTTTCCAGATAATTAACAAATCATAATTAAACAAGATATTCATTAAGAAAAACCTTTGTTAAATGAATTACAACCACTTTCATAAATTTTTATTGAGCTGGAATTAAAATATTAATTAAAATTAAAATATGCAAAAGTTGGAGGTTCACTTTTGTGCATGTAAATGAATTTTCTGTTTATTAGACTATATATATATATATATAATTGTGTATTTGGGCAGCAATCCCTCTTTTATGCTAGTTTCATTAAAGACAACTAACAAGGCATGCATACACTATAAGGCATGTGTATATATATATATATATATATATATATATATATATATATATATATAATGTGTAATGTTTAAAATGTGTTTATTTTGGCAGCATGTTTTCATTGAGACATGTTTCATACTTATATTCAATTAGATCCTTTTATATTCATGGACAAGCTTGCTTTTTGGTGTCATTATTAAAGGAAGAGAGAAAATTTCTGTGTTGATACATATCTTATTCTGAGTAGTTGCAACAACAGAATGTCATCATCAAGGTGTGTTTATTTCAAGATAAATATTCATCAGTGTTCATAATTTTCAATAACAAAATTGATGTGTTCATCTGAATGTTAAATTTTTTTTTACTTGTGACATGAAGAACGCTGAATGACTACTGTGATTGGCTTGGCTAATGCTTCAAGGGAAGTAACTAAGTATGGCATGTCAAGTTTTTAAGAAATAAGTATTAAAAGTATTAGTACAAACCTCAATATTTTAAACTATCTATTGTACACATTTTAAAACATTTGTGCAGTATTCATAATTAACGTCATTATTATTTTTTTTATTATATAATGTTATATATTGCAGGAATTCCAAGTGACGCAGTGCAGGAAGTTTATATGGGTAATGTTTTACAAGCTGCTGCTGGACAGGCACCAACACGTCAAGCTCTCATTGGAGCAGGTGAGGTTTTTGGGGTTTTTTTTTTTTCTTAAACAAAAGTTTAACACTAAAACGTTATAAGAAGAAAAAAATAAAGTATTTTTTTTTAATTTGTTTTCCACTTTGCAGCTTTTTTTCTCACAGGTAACAAGATTGTAAACCTATCATAAGTTACTGTTTGCATAGAAAATATTTGGATGACTACAATTCTAGAATTCCCCCAGTTCAAACCTTTCCATCTAGGATATGCCATACTACTTCTACAGAGTCAAGTCATCCTCATTTCCCCCATAATCTAAATGTAAGAAAATTCCACCCTGTGTTTTCCAAAGAACTACTACTTCCCTGAACATTTCATTCTTGACCTCTTCTAGTTAATTATCATCTTTCCTCCTAGTCTTCGCAATCTTCATTTTCCAATCATGTCACTAACATCATTCAGCATTGCCATTTTGTTGACTGTGATCTTCTATCTTGAGTGGCTTTCAGGTTTTTTTCAGCTGAAATTTAGCATTAAGAAATTTAAAAAAAAAAATTAAATCTCAACTCTTTATTAATGTAGAGCAAAATACATTAAACAACATAACTCCATCTATTATTATACTAAAATTGATAGCACAAAAATAATAACATAATCAAGATTCTGATGTACCACACAACTTCAAACAAAAGGTTAAGAAGGAAACCCCACCCCCATTAATACAGGAAATAGTGATAGCAGTTACTAGACTTGAGAAAACTATTTCCTTGAAAAATTGTTTTAAGAGAAAGATTTTATAAATTTCAACTAAATGTAGGCTGCTTGATCAAGGAATGTCAAATGTTTCCTTATAAGAAAGCATCTAAGATTACCATTACCATAATTGAGTTGATCCTGTCCGAATGATGGTGGCAGTGAGAATACTGAGTAAGGTGCTGGATATTTGAGGAGACTTATCACTCAGTCTCTAATGATAACCATCAATCATTTGGTGGGTGAGCATACAAATACATAAAATATTTCTAAAATGTCATCAAGCACCCTTCTCAGTATCCTTGCACAATTCAGAAACACTGTCATCTGGACAGCCTCAATTCTTCCTTGACTTTCTAAATCATTTAATTTCACCTCTAATGTTTTTTGGCACATTTGGAACTGGGTTTCATCATTGGATTACTTTAACACCTTTATCCACTTGACCCAAAGAGTTGTGAGTTCAATACTTGGCCACAGCAGAAATGAACAAAAACTTGGAGAGTTGAGTTACTAAAAGGAAATAACTGAAACTGAGATATCCAGAAAAGGCATGGCATGTGGAACTAGAACAGTCTACTCCCATGGATTAAATAAAGTTAATTCCTCTTAGTAACTCTCCAAAAGTGACTTGATCCAAAGAGTTTAGAGTTCAATACCTGGCTACAACACAGGGAACTAAAACTTAAACGATCTACACCAGTGGACTAAATAAAGGGTTTCATTCAAAATTCCAATGTATATCATCTGAAGAAGGCTGGAGCATACAACAGCCAAAACATGAATATGACAATAAAGATGAGGACAACAGTCCGAACAATGTAAATTAATTACAATAATAGACAGATAAGTATTATACAGTAGATTCATGAATTGCATTCTGATTTAATATAATTCTGTGAAGTTTCTTTCATGTTTCTGTCAAGAAAGATTTTCATTGTCTATTAATTGTGTTTTGTAAATTTATTATATCAAGATATTTTAGTAAAGAACATTTTTAATTTTTTTTTTTGTTTTATGTTATAGCTCAAATTTTGAGCTCAGCATTTTAAAAGATCTTTTGTATATATCAAATTGTTCTGACACTCAATATTTTTCAGGTTTGAAGATTTCAACACCCGCGACAACTATCAATAAAGTATGTGCTTCGGGAATGAAGTCTGTCATGATGGCTGCCCAGAGTTTAATGTGTGGCCATCAAGTAAGCAAAAATGTTTTCTTTTTCTTACCTTTAGATTTTGAAAACTGATAAATTTAAATTGAGTTTAAGAAACTTTTATTCAATACTTGACTGTTTCACATCTTTGTAAATGATAAACTACTTCCACAATAATATATACCTTGATTTTCCAAACTTTAATTATTCAGAGATGAAATGATCATCAATGTTAACACACTTCAATGATGGGTCATTTAACTCTGGTAGATTATTATTTAAGAATTATATACAGGTATACCTCATCCTGCATTAGTTCCAGAGGTCACAACTTGGGTCAAAAAACGACTTAATTTGAAATAACCACAATATAAACTGCACTCCCCATTGCATTATAGTAATTATATGTACATACAGTATTCTAAATAAAATAATTTATCAGTGATATAGCCTTATGCTTAACATTAGCAATAAAAGAATACTCTGGCAATTTTCCCAATATAATCCAGTTTCGTCAATGTTAAAAATCTGTTTAGGAAGAAACAACACCAAACAGTAGATATTGGAACTATCATGAAATATGCAAATATTGAGCTTTTAAAGACTGCTAAATAAGACAACACAGAGTCACAGATGTTTTCATATTTCATTCTCTAGGATTTATGATGATTATATTAACATTTACCATAAATGTACGTATTTTAATATGATTTTATAGACTTTTATTCTTATTTATTGTACAGTAACATTATTTTATGTGCTTTTAATGCTTTTCTAGTGATTTCTTTTTATGACTTCAATATTTGTGGTGGACAGACATAAAGTCGAATAAAATGACTTAAACTTGATTTTTATTTTTCCATATATTTTTTTTGACAAACAACGTATAATCAAGAATGACTTAACTTGAAACGACATAACCTGAGGTATACCTGTAAAGAGAAAATAAAAGAAAAATAAAATAAGCATTCATTAATTCATGTAGATAATTTTGTCTTTCTTACAAATGATTCTTATCACCCTTAACCTTTCATACTTTTCTTTATTTTGAGTGTTATTTTCTTTAACCCAGTACTTCTCCTTTTTTTTTTTTTTTGATATTTGAATTGTTTTTGGTATTTGAATTTGTGGTTTAACTGTAGACTTGATTATTAACCTGACCAATATTTACCTATAGTTACAAACTCTAAAGCTAACCAATATTTACCTGTTCACACAAACTATAAACCTGACTAATAAAGGACACTTGTGATGTGGGTTGTTAATGGAAACTTATAGATTACAAGTTTTAGTGCATTATTCTTTAGCTTTTTAAGGTGGTTGTGAATGTGGGACAATCTCCAAATAGATGATGACAAAACCAGAGGCAGCAGAAATGTGGTTCTACTGAAGGATACTGAGAATTCCATGGAGAAAGTCTTAACAAAAATGGCAGCAGAAAGAACACATAGTTAGAAGCAGGAAAAGACATCTGAAATTCCTTGGGGTCATAATGAGGAAGGAAGGTTTGGGAAACTTACCCCTTATGTGGCATATTGAGGGCAAGAGAGAAACACTTACTTGACAAGCTTGTGTGAATGGATGGTGGAACTGGGAGTAGGGGCCTGAGAAAAGGGAGAAAAATTGCTAAGAGCCACACAAGATATGAACTTGTAGAATCGTAATTCTACACTTCTGTACAAACTCCATCTAAAAGTGGATCACTATAAAATTTTGTTAAAATATGTGCAAAAGCCGTCTAAAAGTGGATCACAGTGATATTCTTGTACAAAACCAACTCCACACGTATTTTCCAAGAATTCGCTTGCTGATTGGTTCATAAACAAGCAAGTGGGCATCGCCATCCACCCACGCACATCTATTTTTCATCTCATGATCAAGTTAAATATTTTGGCGCTAATTTTCTGGAGCCTATCATGTGTCCATTCAAATAAATAAATTCAGCATGCAAACTCATCTCACTGGTGAGCATTGTGACCACAAACTAGTTGCTAAACAAATCCGTGTCACTTTATCATCTGAAGTTTTTAAAGTTACCTTTTAATATTCAGACATCACTCATTCATCTTCATATTCAACTTCATTTATTGCACAGCAGAGAATTGCTTATCACTTTAAGTTCCAAATCGCAGAACATTATTATTCTTCTGAATTTTCTCAAACAATTCAACATTATTTCCTGACAAAAAAAACAGTCAAAGGAAGACAACTTTTACCACAAATTTATTCCAAACTACATTGAAAATTTACATTGCACAAAACTGTTTAAATTCCACGTAAACAGATTAATACTTTCACTGACTTTGTGAACTTTTCATCACAACAACTTCAACATACAATCTTTCACTTAAACTCACAAACTACATTCCAAACACCTCAAAAAGAGTTTATACAAAGATTTAAACAAATACCACACAGATTTCATTTACAAATCTAAATTCATTCCAGTATAAATCATTGTATTTTCTTATGCTATATAAATGAAAATTTGTTTGTTGTTATATAATATTGTTTTGTGTTATTTCTCATTTTGTTCATTGCTCTGTAATTCGTTGAAGAAGTAAGTAAATGTGCTGAGAATTTATGTTACTTTGAACACAACTGAATTCACTCTACAAATTGTAACTAATCCTGACATACCTCTACAGATGGTAACCCCCAACGTTCCATTGAATAATAATCCTCTACAAACTTATGGAGTGCCATGATTAACTGTGATCATAATACATGGATAGGTAATATTTTTATCTAAAAATCCTCTTAATTGATTTTTAAATTTTATTCTTATAATCAATATTGCAATATTGTAGGAAATTCATTAATCCAGGTTTATTTTTATTAAAAATTCAAACATCTGAATTCCAAACAATATAAAGTAAAAATAAAGAAAACATGGGTTTGCCTTTTAAATAAATAATTTGTATATACAAACATATGTAACTGAATTCAAAAGGGTAAAAAATTATTAAAAATAGTCTTTAGTTAAAATCTTTGGGTAGTTGGTTCACAGAAAAAGCTGTGGTTTAGAAAAGTTTTTTAAATAACTGGTCCGTAGAAAAAAAGCTTTGGTTGAAAAAAGACTTTTATCATTAGCGAAGATTCACTGACTGTCTTTGTTGTTATTGGGTATAATTCATTTGAAGTCATTGACACATGTTTCTTTCAGCACGCAATGGTGGGGGTGAAGAAAAATCTATATAGCCACATCTTCTCTTCAGCTTGGAGAGAGTCACATCTCTGCTCTGAGAGACAAAATCTGTGTGTTTTTATAAGAAATTTTACATGGTGATGTTAATTTTTAACCAATAATCACTTTGATTTAAATGGTGTGTGTTGTATTATGAAATCTTTTTGGCATGTTTGCAATATTGTCTATTATTGGGTAGAAAATATTGTTTGGGCATTGTTTTAATATGGTATATATGTGGGTATGTAATTGTGTTGGAAATAGCGTTTCCTTTGTATACTATTTTCAATATACTTTCTTTTTATTAAAGGAAGTCATGGTTGCCGGTGGGATGGAAAGTATGTCAAATGTTCCATTTTACTTGAAGAGAGCAGAGTCGTCCTATGGTGGTATGAAACTTCTGGTAATTTTGCTTATAATTTCACTCTTTCTTTAAAACTGATTGATTGTTTTGTTTCCTAGAGCTTATCAACCCATTTTTTGGCATCTTCATAAGAATGTAAATGCTGCTCAGCCAGGCTTTGTGCCATCGATAGGAACAAGTAATAATTGGATGGGGCAATGTTTGGTAAATATATCGGGTGGGGTAGGAGTTCCTATTTAAGCATTTCCTAGTAGGTTTTCGCCCATTCTGCAACATGTGGCCTAGCATTGTCATGTTGCAAAATCACTTTTTTGCATAGCAGTCATTTTTTCTTCAAAGCTCAGCTCAAATACATCAAATGTAGTCAATAATGATCTCCCATGATGGTTTTGGTTGGTTTGATCAGCTCGTAATAAACTACACGCAGCTGATCCCACCAAATGCAGAGCAGAAGCTTCGAACCATGGATATCTAGCTTTGCTGCCGATGTGGATGCATGCTCACTCTACAATCTTCTACACTTAGGATTATTGTAGTGTATCCACTTTTCATCACCAGTCATGATGCAAAAAACCTTTCCTTTTCAGCCATTGAAGCAGCTGTTTACACATGACAAGATGCCGGTCAACATCTCTCAGCTTCAACTCATACAGCACCCAATGTCCTTTTCTTTTCAATCGTTCCTAATGCTTTCAAACATTTCAAAACTGTTGTGTGATCAACTCCTAATACTTCTACAAGTTCAGCTTGCACCTGACATGAGTCTTCATGAAGTAATGCCTCCAATTCTTTTTCAAACTTTTTTTGTGTGCCAAAGCATTCTTTATCTTTAACATCAAAATCATTATTTTTGAAATGTCTAAGCTAATTTCTGCATGTTGTTTCCAACAGAGCATGGTTGCCATAAGTCTCAACAAGAATTGTGTGTGATTCAGCTGCAGATTTATTTTGAATAAAGTAGTGCTGTAAAATTTCCCCCCAAATACACTTTCTTTGGCCTGAAATCTGACATGTTTAACACTATGAAAAACAAAGTTGTTTACACTTTGACAAAATGACATATACTGAATTTCAAGCTTGTTTATAGTACTTCCTTATTATCACCTGAAACAACATGCATGAATCTCCTTGAATGCCATTTGTTGGAAAACAGCAAAAACTTATTCAAGGTCCTAATATTTGAAATTGCAGTAGACTGGCTCTCACTTTCAGTCAAGATTGTTTTATATTTTGCCATAGAAGGATTTGACTACACAACTAAGAAATTCAAATTCAACTTGCATTAACAGGACTAATAGCTTGGTCAGTACTTAGATGAGTAATTGCTAGGGAATGCCAGGTATTGTAAGCTTGGATGTGCAGGTGGTATAATGGATAATGGCTCAAGATTGTTAATCTGGAAAGATATAAATCCTCCTCTTTTCCCTTTCGCTATGAGTTAATTAGTAAGACTTGTATCGCTAAATCATTATTATCTCCAAAACAAAAAAATTCTTAGAATCTAAAAATATTTTCTGGCTTTAAATAACCGGAAAAAGATTGATAAACTGTAGAAAATGAATCAATCAATCATGTACATAAAATTGCCTTGAAGCGTTTTTGTGTGTAATATGTGAGAATTTTAAACAAGTAATATTTATTCTTATGTCACGAGGCTGGTGATATGTTCTACAAACTTTCAAGAGACCATGTAGCTCTTCTGTTCTCTTTACTGATGTGGACTTGAGATGACATTTAACACTTTAGCAATCTATAATCAGCAACTAGTGTGGGCAGTCATGTCTTACATCTATGCGTGCTAAATAGCATCTGAGGTTTTATCACCCTGCAAACTGACATAACCAGCCGTCACATGACACTCATAACTTCGTCTTAACCAAAGGGAAAATTATCATCCTTCACATCCCTACTAGTTTAACAACTGTTTCAGGGCACGGATTTCATATGTGAACTATAACAAATATTTTGTGACAAGTTTCATGAATCAAAGTAGTGCAAAAAATGTAATTTTTCCTGCATTTATTAACATTTTACTTTTTCTTTTAGGATGGAATCGTGTTTGATGGTTTAACAGATGCTTACGACCACATTCATATGGTAAGCATCCTATTCATTTAATTACAACATTTACAAAATAATGTGTAATATCATATCTTTTTGTTTGACTTTTTGTTTTTTTTATGATGACAAGATGCAAATGGCCAAGTGACCTTTCGTTTAAGTGACAGTTACATGGAGACAAGGATAGGACTTGACTTGTGGTTAACTTCCTTTGCCATCCCCACTCAGCAAAGGTGAGGTTGGGATCTAAAACAGATCTTCCTTTCAATAGAAATTTATATAACTAACAGTTTTGTTCACCATCTGGAACAGACTGATCTCACTGAAATACATGGACACACATTAGCAGATCTTCCATATGAAAAAGGGGGGGGTTACACTACCATGTTGATGAAATAATATCACAGACAGTTACTGCAGATCATTCTTTATGTGGTACTCAAAACTTTTAGCTTTGTGTCAAAACTAAAATAAGCTTTGTAAATAGCTTATTAAAACACACCCCAAATTATTTTTTATCCATTTAACAGCAAGATAAAAATAATCAGATGGATAAAAAAAAATTTAAAACAAGAATGAATTAAGGCATTTTATTTGTCATAGTCAAAATAATGGAATATTCTATTTCTGCTATGGCCCATTATATAGTGATGGGCAAATTGTCTACTTGTAGTAGACTCTTGTAACGATATAAAGTGTGTGTGTGGATACATACATATACACACACATTATATATATATATATATATATATATATGTTAAGAAATGGACGAGGTCCGACAAATTTATTTATTAAAGACATTTTTATTTATGTTTAACGTTGTTTTTTTATAGATACAAGTATTTAAGCAAATGCTCTGTTTTATGATAAACAGTATTAAATAACATTTACCGGCCTGAATGTCGAGAAATTTTCATAGAAAATATTCGATTTCATAGACAGGATTCGAACCTGCATCCTATTTGGAACGCCATATCATTTGGCGTGCCTTGACCACTCGTACCATGACCTTAAAAATAACAAGGTCAATTTACTGTTATAAACTACAATCTTCCATGAATCTCGTACATTCATAACTGCTCTGGCGTGTCGAATGTAAACAAATGACGTCATATGTTAAGAAAGAAATGGGCCGAGGTCCGACAATTTATTTATTAAAGACATTTTTATTTTATGTTTAACGTTGTTATTTTTATAGATACAAGTATTTAAGCAAATGCTCTGTTTATGATAAACAGTATTAAATAACATTTACCGGCCTGAAAAAATTCATAGAACCTGCATCCTATCTGGAACACGCCATTTCGGCCACCATGGCGTGAACAAGGTACTCAGGAACCTTCCGCGAATATTCTGATTTCTAACAAGGATAAAAAATTTGTCGATATGTAAACAAATAGGCGTGCATAAACAAATTCATATGTTAAGAAATTCCGACAATTTATTTATTAAAAGACATTTTTATTTTATGTTTAACGTTGTTATTTTTTATAGATACAAGTATTTAAGCAAATGCTCTGTTTTATGATGTATTAAATACAAATTCAATTAAATTAAATTCAGGCCGGTAAATGTTATTTAATACTGTTTATCATAAAACAGAGCATTTGCTTAAATACTTGTATCTAAAAATTTAAACATAAATAAAAATGTCTTTAATAAATAAATTGTCGGACCTCGGTCCATTTCTTAACATATGACGTCATTTGCATGCCCAAAGCAGTTATGAATGTACGAGATTCATGGAAGATTGTGGTTTATAACAGTAAATTCGACCTTGTCTACCATAAGGTTCATGGTGGCCGGTGGTCAAGGCACGCCAGCCGTATATGGCGGTTCCATTATATAGATGCAGGTTGAATCCTGTCTATGAGCGAATATTTTTTGAAAATTTCGGACATTCAGGCGGTAAATGTTATTTAATACTGTTTATCATAGCATTTGCTTAAATACTTGTATCTATAAAATAACAACGTTAAACATAAATAAAAATGTCTTTAATAAATAAATTATCGGATCCATTTCTTAACATATGGCGTCATTTGTTTACATTCGATCGTAGAGCAGTTATGAATATGCAATTCATGGAAGATTGTAGTTTATAACAGTAAGACCTTGTCTACCATAAGGTTCATGGTGGCCTGAAGTGGTCAAACGCCAAGCGTATATGGCGGTTCCATTATAGGATGCAGGTTCGAATCCTGTCTATGAAGCGAATATTTTCTATGAAAATTTCTCGGACATTCAGGCGGTAAATGTTATTTAATACTGTTTATCATAAAACAGAGCATTTGCTTAAATACTTGTATCTATAAAAATAACAACGTTAAACATAAATAAAATGTCTTTAATAAATAAATTGTCGGGACCTCGTCCATTTCTTAATATATAGCGTCATTTGTTTACATTCGATCGCCAGAGCAGTTATGAAAATGCGAGATTCATGGAAGATTGTAGTTTATAACAGTAAATTCGACCTTGTCTACCATAAGGTTCATGGTGGCCGAGTGGTCAAGGCACGCCAGCGTATATGGCGGTTCGTATAGGATGCAGGTTCGAATCCTGTCTATGAGCGAATATTTTCTATGAAATTTCTCGGACATTCAGGCCGGTAAATGTTATTTAATACTGTTTATCATAAAACAGAGCATTTGCTTAAATACTTGTATCTATAAAAATAACAACGTTAAACATAAATAAAAATGTCTTTAATAAATAAATTGTCGGACCTCGTCCATTTCTTAACATATGACGTCATTTGTTTACATTAATCATAGAACAGTTATGAATGTACGAGATTCATGGAAGATTGTAGTTTATAACAGTAAATTCGACCTTGTCTACCATAAGGTTCATGGTGGCGAGTGGTCAAGGCACGCCAGCGTATATGCATGGGTTCATTATAGGATGCAGGTTGAATCCTGTCTATGAGCGAATATTTTCTATGAAAATTTCTCGGACATTCAGGCCGGTAAATGTTATTTAATACTGTTTATCATAAAACAGAGCATTTGCTTAAATACTTGTATCTATAAAAAATAACAACGTTAAACATAAATAAAAATGTCTTTAATAAATAAATTGTCGGACCCTCGTCCATTTCTTAACATATATGCGTCATTTGTTTACATTCGATCGCCAGAGCAGTTATGAATGTCACGAGATTCATGGAAGATTGTAGTTTATAACAGTAAATTCGACCTTGTCTACCATAAGGTTCATGGTGGCCAGTGGTCAAGGCACGCCAGCGTATATGGCGGTTCCATTATAGGATGCAGGTTCGAATCCTGTCTATGAGCGAATATTTTCTATGAAAATTTCTCGGACATTCAGGCGGTAAATGTTATTTAATACTGTTTATCATAAAACAGAGCATTTGCTTAAATACTTGTATCTATAAAAATAACAACGTTAAACATAAATAAAAATGTCTTTAATAAATAAATTGTCGGACCTCGTCCATTTCTTAACATATGAGCGTCATTTGTTTACATTCGACACGCCAGAGCAGTTATGAATATAATTCATGGAAGATTGTAGTTTTATAACAGTAAATTCGAACCTTGTCTACCATAAGGTTCATGGTGGCCGAGTGGTCAAGGCACGCCAGCGTATATGGCGGTTCCGTATAGGATGCAGGTTGAATCCTGTCTATGGTGAATATTTTCTATGAAAATTTTCGGACATTCAGGCGGTAAATGTTATTTAATACTGTTTATCATAAAACAGAGCATTTGCTTAAATACTTGTATCTATAAAATAACAACGTTAAACATAAATAAAAATGTCTTTAATAAATAAATTGTCGGACCTCGTCCATTTCTTAACATATAGCGTCATTTGTTTACATTCGTCGCCAGAGCAGTTATGAATGTACGAGATTCATGGAAGATTGTAGTTTATAACAGTAAATTCGACCTTGTCTACCATAAGGTTCATGGTGGCCGAGTGGTCAAAAACGCCAGCGTATATGGCGGTTCCGTATAGGATGCAGGTTGAATCCTGTCTATGAGCGAATATTTTCTATGAAAATTTCTCGGACATTCAGGCCGTAAATGTTATTTAATACTGTTTATCATAAAACAGAGCATTTGCTTAAATACTTGTATCTATAAAAATAACAACGTTAAACATAAATAAAAATGTCTTTAATAAATAAATTGTGGGACCTCGTCCATTTCTTAACATATAGCGTCAGTTTTGTTTACAAAAGCAGTTATGAATGTACGAGATTCATGGAAGATTATAATTTTATAACAGTAAATTCGACCTTGTCTACCATAAGGTTCATGGTGGCAGTGGTCAAGGCACGCCAGCGTATATGGCGGTTCCGTAAGGATGCAGGTTGAATCCTGTCTATGAGCGAATATTTTCTATGAAAATTTCTGGGACATTCAGGCGGTAAATGTTATTTAATACTGTTTATCATAAAACAGAGCATTTGCTTAAATACTTGTATCTATAAAAATAACAACGTTAAACATAAATAAAAATGTCTTTAATAAATAAATTGTCGGACCTCGTCCATTTTCTTTTTAACATATGACGTCATTTGTTTACATTCGATGGCGATTCATGGAAGAAAGTTTATAAATGTAAATTCGAATTCATGGAAGATTATAGTTTATAACACGGTTAAATTGAACGAATATTTTCTTTTCTATTTAAGGTTTTCATGGCATTTGCTTAAATACTTGAGTTAAACATGGTCAAGGCACGCCAGCGATTCATATGTTTATAACAATAAATTCGTATAGGATGCAGGTTCGAATCCTAGCGGTTCTATGAAACGAAATTTTCTATGAAAATTTTCGGACATTCAGGCCGTAAATGTTATTTAATACTGTTTATCATAAAACAGAGCATTTGCTTAAATACTTGTATCTATAAAAATAACAACGTTAAACATAAAATAAAATGTCTTTTAAATATATATATATATATATATATATATATATATATATATATATATATATATACATTAATCATTCATCCAAAAAAAGATATTTAATACGATTTAACTATATCTTTTTTGTATGAAAATTCATGTTTATAAATTGAACTCATACTTTATATATATATATAAAAAGTGGACATTGAAGTCAACACCCAGTGGCTGCAGTCTGTTTCATGCTTATATGCAATCACATGGTATGACAATAAATATATCTTAAAACATATATATATATATATATATATATATATATATATATATATATATATATAGCATACCGTAAAATTATATTTTCAACATATATGCCTCCACAATTCAATGGAAAAAAAGCATACCGTGATATAAAAAAAAAGGCCCAAAACTTGATAAAAATAAAGTTTTATCATAAAAATGTTTGTTATTATTAAGAGGAAAGTCCATAGTATTTTTTAATTGTTTTATTAAATTTTTTAATCTTTTCTAGCATGTTCAAAATTTTGGTTAAAAAACTTAATTTTATTGTGTCAGAGGGGGACAAGGTTAGTATAGGAAATTTTATTTTTTTTTATTCTTTTTTTCAGTAAAAAACACATTGATTTGGAAATTCTTACAAAAAATCAAATAATTGTTCATTTTAATTGAACTTTCAGGTCTTATACACAAGTGAATTAAATTATTTAGAAAATTTTTTTTTTAGAAAATCTTTGTAAAAAATTTTTTTTTTTTTTTCATATGTACCCCATCACTTAATTTTATGAAATTTCAAGAAATTAAAATTTTGACTTCATCATAGTTATATTTGTTAAAAGCAAGACTCAATCGGAGAATTTAAATCTTCAAATTTTTTTTGTTAAACAGAAACCCCATTTACCAAAAATCTGCTTTGAATTGTAAAATTAAAAATGCAATAGAACTATGACATTATTTAATTAGAAAATCTTCTAATTGCTTTTATAAATAACATATATTATGGACACAATTATCTTAAGAAAAACTTTTTTTTTTATGAAGTATGAATTTTTACTGGAATTATTTTAATTTTTTAAAATTTTAATTAAAATAATTTAAGTTTTAAATCATTGAAAATTCTGTATTAATTTCACACTTTTAGATTATATTAGTATTAAGTAAAACCTATATTTACTAATCATAAATGGGAAAGCTTAGTACAATTCATCAAGCATCAATATTTTTAAAAATAATTTTCAATCTTTTTTAAGCTCATACATGACATTATCAGAAAATAAGAGTGCTAACTATAGTAAATTTAAAGTTAAAATATCTAAAATTAAATAAAACATTTGATTACGGAAAATATTTTCTTAAATTATTAAGATTACTAAGTAAAAACATTATATATAAAAGGTTCTCATATATCTATGTAGTTGTGGACTCTCCCATCGTTGATTGACGTGGACTGTTGATCACACCAACCGGGACTCTTTTATGACACATGAGGATCAGGCACCTCAGTTCCTAGAAGCTGACAGCCAGACAACCTGCAGATATGATTTGATTATAATGGCAAAGGTTTTGTGCAGAAATAACCACACTTTTTGAAGAGCCAAATACAGAGACCTGGTGTGCAGTGTGCAAACAGCCCTCCGCAGGTTTTGAATTCAGAGTTGTCCTTCACCTAGACCAGTTGCCATCCAAGGCTGACCCCAGTCTGTTTTGCTATTTACCCATAGCTGGGGTGGGGGAGAGGACTTATACCCTTTCCCAAGGGTATTAGCATGTCAGTAAATGTAATGGATTTGACTGGAATTTGAACTTGGCTCTCTGATTCGTCAATCTGAGCTGCTATCTATTACTCCACCATGCCACACACACACACATATATATATATAATTTTTAATCATTTTACCCCAAGCAAGGCAATAAAGACACTAAGATACAAGGTGTTACTGAGTGTGAGAGAGTACGAGAAAAAGAAAATATTATTAAGGTGAGAAAACAATAAAAGGACAGGTTCTCCTAACATCAAGATCACACTCCCCCCTCCCCCCCACCAATTTTTTGAACAGGAGTAAAAGTTTATCCCTTCTTTCCTGTTTAGGATTGGGTTTCTGATTCTTTCTAAGATCTTCTTCAGCTCTATACTTTAGACGTCGCCACTTGAACTCTGAAATGGTATTCACTAATTAAATCTTGACCTCTTCAAGTCTAGAGTTGGCTGTTATATTTCCTGCATAGCCACCAAGAAATTCACTTCTTGTCCTTCCTTATGCTTGTACGACACCACACAGTAAACCTCTACATTGAATTGCTTTTTTGTCTTGTATTGGAGGAATATTAGTAAAACAAAAAAGTAATTAAGAAAAAAAAAAATATATATACATATATATATATATATATATATATATATATATATATATATATATATATATATATATATATATATAGTGATTTTCAAGCGTAGCTCAGATGTGGCACATGGCCAAAAGTATGAGGCACCCAGTGAGGATCAAACTCACTACTCAGTTGTAATTGCTTTAGCGAGACAAGCTTGCTAACCATTACACCACCTCGAGGTTCCTATATATATATATATATATATATAGTGATCCACAGACAGACTTTTTCACTGTATCACAGCTCTTCAGTGTGGCTAGGCATCCAATTGCTTCAAGTCAGGATTGAAACCCAATTGATTTGTTATCAGTAAGGCTATCGTCGAACAGCAGAGAGGAAGAGAAATTTTAGCGTTTTCTATGTGAAATACATCAGTGGCCCGGAGAGCTCAATTCGGTTGAAAAGCAATCGAGATATATATAGCCATATTATGTCTATTTCTTTTTATTTTAATCCCTCAAATTCACAGATCAATTTCTTAATGTTGTTTTTAAATGCATAGTTATTTTCATTTCTTTTCTTTTATTTTCCCAAGTACTTTCAATCTTATCCAAGATCACCTTTAGAGGTGAATTTCTAAAACAAAAAAATTAATGTAATTGAGAGTTATAAATTTTTTTGTAAATTCACAAAGAAGATAACTTGTTAAAAAAATGCTCCCTCCAACATTTTCCTTAATAAGTTTTCTCAAATGTTCAGGTTAGTAGATGAAATAAAATACTGTTTAAAATAAGCAGAACGTCTACTCAAATATGGGTACTGCTAAAATAACATTTAAAGTTATAAAAATATGTTGAATTAAAAAAATCCATTAATTATTTAAAAATATGTATTATTTTCAGGGTAATTGTGCAGAAGACACTGCCCAAAAGTATTCAATTTCTCGAGAAGAACAAGACCAACATGCAATTGAGAGTTACAAACGCAGCCAATCTGCCGTTAGTGCTGGAATACTAGGTGCGGAAATTGTTCCTGTCAGTGTGCCCAAAAAGAGAGGTACTTAATGTCTTTTGTCTTTACTTTTCTACCAAACTATGTATTTTTACTGTTAACAATGTTATTTTTCTTCAATTGTTTTTAAGTGGCATCTTTGTAAAACCTAAAATGGAAATTGTATCTCCTTGTAGGTGACCCACTTGTCATATCGGTGGATGAAGAATTCACAAAAGTAAAGTTTGATAAAATCCCAAACTTGAAGCCAGTATTTCAGAAACAAGGAGGTAAGAACAGATATGTTTGGAGTTTAGGGTTTATGTAATATCTGCCATCTCAGGTAAGATTTATTAAACAAATGTCCATAATTACATATATAATGTTGTCAAAGAAAATCCTGGAAGGGCAATAGAGTAAGAGAGATGGTAAAACTTATCACTTGAATCACTGAACGGTTATTCTTTATTTTTGATACATTTTGATATTACTTTATGGTCATTTACTAAGCTTATTTGTGGTACAAGGCTGAAAATACGGGGCACCCACTAAGGATCAAACTCGCTACTTAGTTGATAATACTTAATGATTGTAAAATAAGAATGGGGAAAGTGAGACAAAAAGCAAGAGAAATAGGATTGGTTTTCATCGCTACCCACAAAATTTAATGCTATTCCATTCATTTCTTACTTTAGTCATTTTTACACAAAATTAAATGAAATTGAATATTTGTTGCAGGAAGAGAAAAAAAAATAGATGAATACATAAAGAATTTAACTAAGAAAATTTTTAGTTAAATCTCAGTACAGTCTGTATTTTATGCAATGAAAATCAAGCAAAAAGGGATTGTCAATGATCAGGAATTAAGGCAAGCATAAGAGAAAGAACAATATTAGTATAATTTTTAAATAAACATTTCCCATATTTCTCTCTTCATTCAAGCCATCTCCCCTCCCCTTCTACTCACCCTGCCATAGCAATTACTATACTCTGCCGAGCATATGTTGAGTATATCTTATTGACCTGAGAAATGTTTAGTTTATAAACTGGTGTATTTTTTGTAGAATGGTTTATTATCATCCAAGCTTTCTTTTTTTTTTTTTTTTTTTTTTTTTAAATTTATGGAGTGACTAGCCATGGTCAAATTCAAAATAAGTAACTGAACTGTCCAACAAACAGAATTGAGAAAGTTTGCAATAACAAAAAAAAAAAAACATGGCAAAAATGAATATAAAGCAAGCAAACAACATACATAAGGCAAATTAACAGTAATATGGCAGAAAGTTCACAAACTAAGAATTGGTGTTTATATGCAAAAGCAAGTTCGGAGAAGCAAATGTAGTGTTCTGGCTTCAAGATGAAACCAAAAACTGGCCTGTTTTATTGGCTAGGGAAAAGAAATCCCAGCATGCATTTGTATGTTTCTGCTTATAAAACAGTGGGGAGGAAAGTATTTTTCCCAGATAGGATTGAAAGCAACAAATTTGATCAAAGGATTTTATTCATATTTAGTCTTTATCACACCAAGGTACTTAAAAGACCCGGTAGGTGTATAATAAATTGGTTGAAAATACTTAACAATTATGTTGACCTGGCTCTAAAGCCATAGAATTTGGACAAGACTACTTAAAGCTGTAACTCAAAAGAAATAAGAGGATGTTTGTAACATCATAGCTGATTAGTACTTTGTATTTTTTTCCTTTGTTACCTTTCTCTATGAGAATCATTATAGATTGTATACTTGTAAGGTGCAATTAGTGGAATGGATACTGACAGAAAAAGTGGAATTGACGAGCAGAGTTCAAATTCTGGGCTAGTCTGCTGTGTTCTGTTCTGCCCAAATGACCTTAAAAAACTGAATGCATCTCTTCGTCACGTCCCACAGCAATAGGCTATATAGCATGGGTAGGGCTGGGCTCTATGGCCTCATTTGTGGCTAGAAGAAGAAATAAATTCTAAATTCCAAACAAGGAGGAAGAAAATGGTAAACCACTCGACTATATTTTCTGAGAATGCATGGCAACTCACAGAAAAGGAAGAAAAATATATGGTGAGTCTTTATTGCCTATGTTCTAAAGGGACATAGCTTTATCATTTTATTAAGTTAGCACATTTTGCTCCACTCTGGCCAACACTGCTCCCATCTCACAATTGTGGTTCATGATGACATTCAAAGCAAAATAGTGCAATGGCCTGCCAGTTCCTTTTGCACTGGGAATATTGAGCTTATCCTATCACTCCTCTCTGTAAAGTGGATTTGTTTTTGAAGCTACCTCCTAATCTTTACCTAAAGACGCATGATCAACAAGGCAGCAGGTGGTTTGAAGTCATAGTTTCCTTCTTCTAGATTGCTTTCCATCCAAAGCTATAGAATCCTGTCTGTCCTGTTATTTTACCCATAGCTGGGAGGAGACTAGATAGATTCATACCTTTCCCAAGAGTATTAGCACATAAGTGAATGTCATGAACTTGACTTGAATTCAAACTTGGCTCTTCAATTCCTCAATGCAATCCGCTAACCCTTACTTTGTCACGCCTCGATAGCATTAAAAAAGAAAAAAATGGAATAGAGTTGTCAGAAATTGGGATGTTCAGTAATCTGTCCTGTCAATTTGTTCATCTTGTGATTTTTCATTAGTCACTATGTGAAACAATGTTATTTGGTGGTCTGATCAAATTTTGCTTTTTTTTTAAGTAAAGTTGAAAGGGCAATATGAATTTAAGCAAGACCTGTCATCCTCTGCACATTATGTTTAAAAAGAGGATCTCAATAATTTTAAAAAAAAATTTTGCTGTTTGAACTACTTGGAATGCATATTAAACCTGGAACCTTAGTGTTGAGCATAATGATGGTTGCCTTAAGTAAGGCAATGAAGCCACTGATATGTGACAGGTTACTGAGCTTGAGAGAATATGAGAAAAAGTAAACATTATTACAGAGATTACCGTTATCTTCCCCACATATTTACATAAACTGTACCTCTTCCTCTGTAACCCTCTACCTTGAGTGGCTCTTGGGCCTTGGACAGGGTGAACATCATTGTAAAAAAAAAAAAAATATGAAAGAAAAAGGATAATGAAAGTAACACAGATACTAAAAACCTTGTGTGAAACGTCAGCTTGCAGATGCAGAAAAAATGGAATCAAGTGTATGACCACTTTTAATGAATCAGGTGTACAATCTTTTTAGAAAGAGATGAGTCCATGACATTTTTTTTTTCTTTCTTGGCAAAAAGAGTATGAATTTGAATGTCACCAAGTGTTTCTGATCCTGTGCTGTCGGCTCACCACTTCAGATTAATTGCTTGACTAAATGTATAATAAAAAGCTATATAATAAACAAAAATAAAAATAAATATCATTAAAAAAAAAATTAATAATCACTTGCAGTAACCATGAAAATTTCAGTTTTCTTATTTGAATTTTCTGATAAATCATAATTCTTAATTTAATGATTAAATAAGCTGCTTCCGAGTTCCACAATGAAAAAATATCCATGAAAATTCCCCCTATTGCATCGTTAAATATTTGAGTTTAATAACTTTTAACAAAATATTGAAATAACAATCGTAATTATGAATACAAGTCATTATTTAAAGTAAGAGATTAAAAATAAAGAGATTCAAAATTAAAAGTTTTCCATTTTACTGAAGCAGACATTAAATGTACAAGAGCATTATCACCTCCTCTATCTTCCCTTTTTTTCTTCTTATTTCAAAATGGAATGGTCCATTATTTATCTTGGATAATAGCAGAGCACATAATACATGTGTAAACTTACTGTGACTAATGGAGGAAGAAGTTGAGTCAAATGTCATACATGGTGTATGCCTGGGCAGTCATGACTCTTTCGGTTCATAACTGACTAGGTAGATTTCCTGCATTAGGCTATCATTTCTTTCTGCAGTAGACTGATTACCAACCAAGGCTATAGGACCCAGTCAGTCCTGCTATTTAACCATAGCTTGGGGAAGAAGAAATGATTTGCAAGGGTATTTGCACATATAACGGTAACTAACCCAACTGGAATTTGAACTCAGTTATCCAATTTCATATCCCAAGCCCTTACCCATTACATGACAATGTGAAAAGTAGAATTATTATTAAAAATGATAAAAATAATAATGGTCAATTTCAAAATAATTTTCTTTTTGCAGGGACTGTAACAGTTGCCAACTCAAGTAAATTGGATGATGGTGCAGCTGCAATGGTTGTCATGACAACAAAAGCTGCAGAGAAATTGAATGTCAAACCTTTAGCAAGGATTGTTGGTAAGTCATCAGTTTTTTTTGTCTCATGCAGTAAACAACAGTAAGGATTAATAATTTCAAAATGTTTATTGAATTGGAATCTCTCTCTTCGTATTTGAACACAATAAAGAGACAATGGATTAAATAAAGCAATAATAGATTAAATGAAGGGACAATTGGATTAAATAAAGGAATAAGGGATTAAATGAAGATACAATGGATTAGATAAAGCGATAATGGATAAAATGAAGAGACGGATTAAATAAAGCAATAATGGATTAAATGAAAAGACAATGGATTAAATAAAGGAATAATGGATTAAATTAAGATACAATGGCTTAAATAAAGAGATGATGGATTAAATAAAGAGGCACTTGATATTTAATCCATTATTGCTTTATTTAATCCATTGTCTCACAACTTCCCTTTGTACTAAGAGAAAGCAGCAAAGATTTAGGAACCTAAATATTCTGGGTGAGAAAAATTCACATTATAAATTTTATTTACATCCTTTAAGAGAATATTGTTTCAGAATCTCATTATCTTCATTGTGAATTAATTATTAAATGAGAAATCATTTCATCTTTAGCGTAATTTTGATTCAGTGCCTCTTTTCTATAAAAATTTCCTTTCTTTATGAAGAACAAATTTTTGACACTTGACCTTCTGATAATTGTACACTATTTTTATTTTTTGTGTATTTTTAAATAATTTATTTGGCACAATTAAAACAATCATAATTAAAAGGAAAAACTTCAACTTGAGTAATTTTATTTTAGGTTTTGCTGATGCTGCAACAAACCCGATTGATTTTCCCACGGCCCCAGCTCTTGCAATGGAAAAGGTATTTACAATATTTAACGTTGGATTCTTTTATAATTAGAAATTTTGATATCAGTTTTTATGTCTATTTTTAGTCTCTAGCTTACCATGTTTGAAATGTTTTCAGTATTTAATTCCTGTATTTGATGCATCAGATCGTTTTCAGATTAACGATAAAACAAATTGTATGACGGGATGCTGAAAAGTTGAACAATTTTGGCCTGACACATTTCCAAAACCTGAACAAATAGCCAAGCATTGTTCTTTACATTATCTATAGTTGGAGTCATATCCTCATCTTTGTTGTTGTTATCACATCAGTTTGACCGTTATGTTCTCTCACCGTCTTCAGATGTCTGTAAATCCGAGCATAATAGTTGTAATGTTAGGATGTCAACAAATATGGGGGATATTAGTCCAACTAAATAATAATAATTTCTTATCCCAGAAATTCAGACAGAAAAATCCAAGTATTAATTTTTTTTTCATCTTCTTAGGTCAATGCTTTTCAAACTAGTGTGTCAAGATGCATTAGTACGATTGATTACCTGTTCTTTGTTAGAGAAAGAACAGGTAATTAATCAGATGAAGTAAATTTTTCATTTAATTATTTCTTTCTATATACATTTTGAAATTTTGAATTATTTGGCTTGGCTAACAAAATAGTTCTTTGTTAGATCGGGGATTTTTTTTTCTTAGCTTTCTCAGTTAAATTTTTATTTCTGACATGAACTATGTCTCTACCAGGGTTGATAAGACAGACAGATTATATTTTTGTCTGCCAAATAAGCTTATTCCTCATATGAGATAATTTTGGATTTTTTTGTGTATTTAATTATTTGCACTGTACTAATAATTATAGTGAGCTCTTTTTGTGGATCAGTTTTAATATTTTATATTGCTAAGATCCACTTGGATTATATACCAATAGATTTGTTACATTTAGTGTGTATGTATGTGTGTGTGTGTGTGTGTATATATATATATATATATATATATATATATATATATATATGCTAGGCGTGATCGTCAGGCCTGACGATTGTGCCTAGCATGAAACGGTTTGTTACCTCTGAGTGTTGACTTCAATGCTCACTTTTATATTTATATTTACATACACTCTATCTCTGATATTGATCACTTTATCTCATAAATATAGGACACCTTAAAACTATATTTCTGCATATATAGATATAATGTGTGTGTGTGTGTGTATAAATATAAGATATTGAACATTTGAGTGTTGGTGTTAATAAAATAATGCTTAATGTAGAACTATTAAGTATATATTAATAAATATATATATTATTCCTCACCGGTAGCATGAAATTTTGTGTTAAGATTGAGGAATAATATATATATATATATATATATATATATATATATATATACATACATTCCTTAATGTTAACACAACTCAGAGTTTCATGTTACTAGTGAGGAATAATATGTATATATTGCACATTGAGTGCTGATGTTAATAAAAATATTACTCACATGCATCCATCTCTCTCTCTCTCTCTCTATATATATATATATATATATATATATATATATATATATATATATATATATATAATAATTTACAGATGTTGATGTACCCTTTTATTAGTGAATAACTTTATTATAATTTTTTTTTAATAAAAATTTACATGTGAATATTTATAATTAAATCCTACCTTTATAACTTGAAGTAAATAATTTGTGTTGATGCGTGGTTTTTTTTTTGGTTTATTTTACATATAAAATTCATAACGTTTTTTTTAATATTTTTTTTTATAATTACATTTATATGAAAAAACCAACAATCTTTACATAAAATATGTACTGCCTCAACATTGCGATAACCGGATGTTTTAACAAGGTTTAAATTATGTAACATTCATCACCTGAAGATTGTGTTGTGCATGAAATATATATAGTTTTCAGGTATGTTATATTTATGGGTAAAAGTGCTCAATATCAATGATAGAGCATATGTAAATATAAAGGTGGACACTAAAATCAACACCAGGCAGTGGCAGTTTGTGTCATGCTTGAATATAATCTTCAGTCCTGAAGATGGCATTCAAACATGAAATATACAGGTTCACCTATTGTCCAGTTTATACACCTGCTTTTTTTTTTTTTTTTTTTTTTTTAAACAGTAATAGAGATTTATCACTTGCTTCATGTTTAGGATTGAGTTTCCGGTTACTTCTAATGTCTTTTCATTCTCGATCACTCCCAGTAACCCCTTGCGAGTTAGTGGCATTATTGCCTTACTTGAGGTGAAGTGATTAAAAAAAACAAGTGCACACACACACACACACACAGCTTATAGCTATATCACATTGAAACATCAGTTTTCATATGATCACCAAAGTTAAGCAATATTCAGCCTGGTCAGTACTTACATGGGTGACCACTTGTTAATACCAGGTACAGTAAGTTTGGATGTGCAGGTGGGGTAATGGATAACAGGTCAGCATTGGCAATGCGAGAGCTGGGGTACAATTCCAGTCAGGTTCATTATAATTACTTACATTTAAATATCCTTGGAATCCAAGGAGATATATATATATATATATATCCAAGGTATGAATTCACCTCTTCTCCTCCCCAGCTATGGGTTAATTAGTAAGACTTGTATCAGTAAATCATTATTGTCTCCAAAATGTTCTTACAATCTAAAAGTTGATAAGCCATAAAAAATAAATCAATCTATCTATCACATACACACATTTATTTATATATATATATATATATATATATATATGGTCTGAAAGTCTTGTCAGATGCAACCTCTTCCAAACCGTAGGAGCTCATAACAGCAATCTGAAATATAAAATTACATTATGTGGGGATGACAAGACTTTCGGACCAACATGTATGTGTGTGTGTGTGTGTGTGTGTGTATATATATATATATATACTCTCTGTTAATATGGTCTGTGATGTTAGCACACAACAGAAGATGCAATATTTACAAAGAAAGCTGTACAAGAGACAGGTGCACATGAATAACTGACCCCACAATACAAATGCCAACTTGCCCTGACAGCCATCCTTTTCTCCTTCCAATATATCTCCCCCACCTTTCCTCATATATGTGTCATCTCCATTATTTATATTGCTCACTGTATCTATGTTCTCAGTTCCTACCCCACCACCCTATCAAAAATCACTAATAAAACTGGATCAAGAGAATTATTGTCCCCTTTTTTTCATTGGTAAATAATGATTTTCAGTCATCCAATCACAACAGCCAAATCTAAATTTGACTTGCTCACATACTTTAACACCAAGTTTCCACCCTTCAATTTGGCATTTAATTCAGCTACATTAATTTAATTATAATCTTCTTCTTCATTCAGCTAGCATTGCATCCAAAACCTCATTATCATTTATATCTAAAACAGCACCCATTACCATACAACTAGCATAACACAATCCAAAAACATTTTTTGATTTGTATGCAGATTAGCTCCCTACCATTGGATCAGCATCCTTTACACTTTCAACAATCTCTTTCAATATATCAACTGTCTTCCCTCCTTATTATCAACACAGCTTATCCTCCTCGGATAAAGGGTTCGGTTTGAAATTCCTATGTATATCACCTGAAGAAGCCTGGATTGTACAATGCCCGAAACATCATGAATATGGCAATAAGATGAGAATAACAATCTGAACAATGTAAATAGTGTAAATGAAACCGTGACATTAAACTCTTCAAGAATTTTAAAACATGTTTTCAAAATTGTTTCAGTTTGGAACTTTTTTTTCTAAATATAAAATACACCCATACAGAAAATACATTCTTTTTTTTAAAGTATTTTTGAGAATTTAATGAAACCGGGGAGATTATACCAAAATATCTTGTCCCTGGTTCCCTGGATTAATTTTCAATGAGACAAATAAACACAAACCTCTTAGAATTCTGTGTGTGATTCTTTCAATTACAAATCATCAGCATTTCACTAATAAATTTCAATGAAGGAAAAACAAAACTACCAAGCATAGAGGTTTCTCACAGGAGAACTAAATTACCGTATGGTCGTTACAGTTGTTTAATTAGGTGTCTATTGAATCATCTCTTTCTGTAAGAATGAATGCAAGACTGACTTGATGAACAGGAAAATAAAGAGGGAAAAAGAAAACAGGTCAACCATGTCACCTACTGTGACAATCCCAAATTAAACATTTCCCTGCAATCATTGTGGACACATCTGCCTGTAGCAGATGCAGACAACGCTTTCTTAAATCTTCATTCATGAAATCAAACCAAGAGGTTTTGAAGAATCTAAGACAGAGCTATCCAAACTTTTACACAGGAAAGCACATTTTAAAAATAATTTTTTTTTTTTTGCAACACATTACTTAAGATCTTGAAAATATAAAAATGGCAGTAAAGATGGACAAGTTCTATGAATATTTAGCTAAATAAGTTCTATGAATATTTAGCTAAATTTACTGCTGGGCAATATTTAACCTTTGTAGTGTACTGTGTGTGGTTTCAGTGTTGCATTTAGTTTTTCATGCTGTTTATTTCCTGCTAGAAGACAGTCCAACTACAAGAAAAAGGCGGACTTGAATAAAGTCCAACTGAAGATGTAAAAAAACAAAAGACCAAGATTATATATAT